ATAGGAGACGAGCCATCGCACACCCAGCCTCGCATTATGTCTTTTTTTTTTTTTTGAGATAGGGTCTCACTCTCACCCCGGCTGGAGTGTAGTGGTGCGATCTCGGCTTGCTACAGCCTCAACCTCCTGGACTCAAGCAATCCTCCAACCTCCCCACCTCGGCCTCATGAGTAACTAAGACTACAGGCTTATGCCCCTGCGCCCAGCTGATTTTTGTATTTTCTGTAGAGACAGGGTTTTGCCATATTTCTACATATTTTTTTTATTCTGCTATAAATGCCAGAGACTTCAGGATATGGTCAGAATATATGACCTTTGTTGTTAGAAAACCCCTGCCTGCCTTTAGTTTTCCAGCATGACCTGAATTCTCTGAAGTTTTAGCTGCAGTTTTGGTATAATGGTATTTATTGTTCTATATTAGAGTTCTCCAGGGAAACAGAACCAATAAGAGAGATTGGTAAATATTGTAAGTAAAAGATAAATAGAAATAAACATATAGGGAGATAGAGATATCTAAATTTATGTGTGTTTATTACAAGGAGTTGGCTTACACAGTTATGGAGGCTGGCAAATCCAAAATCTGCAGAGATTGGCTGGGGGCAGTGGCTCACACCTGTAGTCCCAACACTTTGGGAGACTGAGGTGAGCGGATCCTTTGAGGTTGGGAGTTCAAAATAACCCTGGCCAACATGATGAAACCCCGTCTCTACTAGAAAATACAAAAATTAGCCAGGCATGGTGGTGGGCACCTGTAGTCCCAGCTACTCGGGAGGCTGAGGCAGGAGAATCGCTTGAACATGGGAGGTGGAGGTTGCAGTGAGCTGAGATTGCACCATTACACTCCAGCCTGGGCAACAAGAGTGAAACTCCATCTCAAAAAAAAAAAAAAAAAAAAAAGATTTTTGGGTCCCAACCTCAAACCTACTGAATCAGAATTTCTAGGGAAGAAGCCTAGGGATGTGTTGTTTTCAAAGCTTCCCTGGTGATTGTGATTAGCCTTGTTTGAAAACCATTCCTGGAGAACTTGGTAAAGATACAGAGACCCAGGCCTTTTGTATTTACATTTAAATACAAATCCTGGGTTTCTATATGTTCTGTTAGCTTTTCGGGTGATTCTGCTACAGGGACGTTGAAAACCACTGCCCTAAGAGATCAGAGGCCACATATCAGAGACAGAAAAGGGGCCAAACCCTTTGGTGGTTTGTTGTGTGTTTTTTGAATGCCAATTATTTTAACTTACACAGTCTTCTGAAACCTTGTATTAATAGTTCTCTTTTGTATTACCATTTTCAGGTAGCATTTTGATTACTATGATTCTGAAGATAATAGTGGAGTAGCAAATTTCATTGATACGAAGAGATCATTGATTTTCATTCATTGGTTTGAACACCTGCAAAATCACAAATAAATGAGAACTAAGTCTTGTATTCATGGTAGTTATTGGCCTTTAATGTGAGTTTGTCAAAGCGCTGTTTTATACTGATAGCTCAAGAGGATTGCAGAAATGGAGACTTTATTTTTTAAATACCTGTTTATTTTTTAAATACCTTTTCATTTTTTAAATTTTCGATTCAAGGGGTACGTGTGCAAGTTTGTTACATGGATATATTGTGTGATGCTAAAGCTTGGGTTTCTGCTTAGCCTGTCTCCCAAGTAGTGAACATAGCATCCAGTAGGCAGTTTTTCAACTCTTTTGGGAGTTCTCTCTCCCCACTTTTGGGAGTCCCCAGTGTCTGTTGTTCTCATCTTTATGTGTGTGTCCAATGTTTACCTCCCACTTACAAGTGAGAAATGCGGTTAAATACCTTCTTTTAAAATGAAGGTAAATATTATTCTGTTTACCTGTTAACTTACTAATATCAATTGCTTAGATCCATCTGCCTAGTACCAATTCAGTACTTGATGTAACATGCCAAATACTGCTTGGAAATGTGACCTTGTTGAAAAACTGAATTTGCTTTCTTTTTCCATTTGCTGACTCAGGATTTACCTGCCTTTTCAAGCATTGCTAGAGGCTGGCCAGTTAGCCAGCCCTTCTGGATAGTCTCTCCCAACTGGTGAACATTACAGGCCTGAAACTAATTAAAGAAGGAACTGAAATATAACTAATTTTTCATGCCCCTATCCATAAAAGAAAAGCAATTATGATTAGGAAAATAAAATATTTACATGAATGGAAATGTGATGCTACTAAAAATAATTAGGTCTTATCATTCGGATGCTACCTCTTTGGTGCATTCAAAAGGGGTAGCGTCCAAAATTGTTTGGAACATAGATATTGTAGCCCCTCCCTAGAGACGGACCTATATTTGAGACAAGATGCCTCTCCAACCACTCAGGTGGCTTTTGGCCAAAAAGAAAACACAGTTCCCCAAGAGTGTTCTCAGAAACCCTAAGGGAGGGCTGAGAACACAGCTGTGGGGTAGTGTCTGCCCTGGCTTTCTTCTTTGAAGAGAAGAAATTTGGTCACTTAGCTGAGTGACCACATAAGTGGGGCAGAGGAGATTATAGGTCAGGGAAGGCCCTTTAGCAGTAAAGAATGGTTTGCTGCTTTATCACTGCTATTGAGCCAGAATTACCCCCACGATGTTTCCCTGATTCACTTTCTCCAGCTGGGGTCCCTCACTGTTTCCTATTATCTCCAGATTTAACTTTTTCTGTAGGTGGTCTCTCTTCAGTCCTCAGGATACTATCTCATCTAACGTGAGGCCTTTCTTGAGCCTGATACTTTCGTAGGCAGTGGCTAAGGCCGTGGTTAGAGGATGTAAAAATTTCCATAGAATTCTATAAAATCTAGTAACCAAATTGCCCAAGGAAACAAAACTCAATGCACTTTTCCCCTCCACCCATCTTGGTTCACTGTGTATAGGAAGATTTCCTCAGCTGTGTAAGTGACTCATCTGTTAAAGCCAAATAACCCCCAAAGCTGCAGGTTAGAATAGGCAGGAAGTCACTAGAAAATTAGGTATTCTGGAAAGAACTCTACATATAATTTTATATATGATATATATATATCATATATATATATATAGTTGGGCTTTTTTTGTTTGTTTTGAGACAGGGTTTCACTCTGTCACTGAAGCTGGAGTGCAGTGGCACAATCTCAGCTTACTGCAGCCTTGACCTCCTGGATGCAAGCCATCCTCCCACCTCAACCTCGAGTAGCTGGGACTATACATGCATGCCACTACAGCTGGCCAATTTTTGTATTTTTGTAAAGACAGGGTTTCACCATTTTGCCCAGGCTGGTCTTGAACTCCTGAGCTCAGGTGATCTGCCTGCCTCTGCCTCCCACAGTGCTGGGATTATAGGAGACGAGCCATCGCACACCCAGCCTCGCATTATGTCTTTTTTTTTTTTTTGAGATAGGGTTTCACTCTCACCCCGGCTGGAGTGTAGTGGTGCGATCTCGGCTTGCTACAGCCTCAACCTCCTGGACTCAAGCAATCCTCCAACCTCCCCACCTCGGCCTCATGAGTAACTAAGACTACAGGCTTATGCCCCTGCGCCCAGCTGCTTTTTGTATTTTCTGTAGAGACAGGGTTTTGCCATATTTCTACATATTTTTTTTATTCTGCTATAAATGCCAGAGACTTCAGGATATGGTCAGAATATATGACCTTTGTTGTTAGAAAACCCCTGCCTGCCTTTAGTTTTCCAGCATGACCTGAATTCTCTGAAGTTTTAGCTGCAGTTTTGGTATAATGGTATTTATTGTTCTATATTAGAGTTCTCCAGGGAAACAGAACCAATAAGAGAGATTGGTAAATATTGTAAGTAAAAGATAAATAGAAATAAACATATAGGGAGATAGAGATATCTAAATTTATGTGTGTTTATTACAAGGAGTTGGCTTACACAGTTATGGAGGCTGGCAAATCCAAAATCTGCAGAGATTGGCTGGGGGCAGTGGCTCACACCTGTAGTCCCAACACTTTGGGAGACTGAGGTGAGCGGATCCTTTGAGGTTGGGAGTTCAAAATAACCCTGGCCAACATGATGAAACCCCGTCTCTACTAGAAAATACAAAAATTAGCCAGGCATGGTGGTGGGCACCTGTAGTCCCAGCTACTCGGGAGGCTGAGGCAGGAGAATCGCTTGAACATGGGAGGTGGAGGTTGCAGTGAGCCAAAATCATGCCACTGCACTCTAGCCTGGGTGACAAAGTAAGACACTGTCTCAAAAAGAAGCAAATCCGCAGAGCTGATGTCCAGCGGGCTGGAAGAGCCAGTGATCCAGTTCAAAGCCTGTGAGGAAGGAGAATTCTCTTTTACTTGGGGGAAGGTAGTACTTTGTTCTACTCTGGCCTTCAACTGATTGGATGAGGCCCACCTACATTGAGAAGAGCAATCTGCTTTACTCTGTCTGCCAATTTAAATCTTGTCCAAAACACCCTCACAGAAATACCCAA